GAAAAATCCTAGAAATATACCATGCTGCACGAAATGCTTTTCTGAGTGTTTTCAAATTCACTTTCATTGCATCGAATTCAGAATGCTGTTAAAAAAATTAAAAAAATGTAGTAGAAATATTAAGAATTACTAGCGCAACTATTTCGAAGGATATCCAATATCCCTTTGAATAAGTCCTAGGCACCGTAAAAACGATATAGCAACTGTCATATGAATCCCGATATACCTTGTCCTGTAGTGCTATATGTTTCTACAGGGCTTTTAGGTGTAGAAATTATATGAAACTGACAAAGAAATAAGTTTCGTGCATACGCATTATGCAATTCCAGTGAACGCTTGCGTATGACAGTATATTTTATTATTTCTTACATAAGCACAGAATACTATATGAGTAGGTGTGTGTTATATGCATTTAGATCGGTTTAGTCAGCGTTGTGTTGTTCCTCTACGTTCGTGTTTGCGCGTCTCTTTTCATTCATCATTTGTTTACAATTATTTCACCTTGTACCGTTACATAACCGAAAGTAATTGCATCACTTGTTTTTGACAACTTTGTGGTGTGTTGTTTTTGTTGTAGTGAACACGGAAAATAATAAAGATAACTTTCAATTGCAGAGACAACTCAAATTTGGCGAGTTTTAAAAGAAATATACGCAGAAATTATCATCTAGAGTATTGAGTTGCTGATCACTTTGAACTAAATACATACATATATACACGGTATTCGTACACTATTTACGACCGTCTTGTGTTGGTGTCAAAATTTGGCTGCGCAAGCGCATTTTCCGCGCAGCATTTACGCAATGGAATTCAGGGAAACAGAAGGAGAAATACAACCCCATTCAGCACATTCGATATTGCGTAACCGACATAGAAATAAGAAAAATGGCGAAACGTATCTATTGACCCTGCATGCCAGCAAATAAGTTAAAATCAGCGTTTTACAGTCACTTCTCATTTGTGTTTGTCCCGCATTCTATGTATGTATATATATCAGTATATGCCCCATTTGCCTTTATTGATTTATTTTCCTTTTAAAGTGTTTCATTAAAAAAATAAAAAATAAATCGTGGTAGTAGCGGAGGAAGGAGCGGTGACAGAAGCCACAAAAAGACGCTGAACTATTCATATAAAGCTACAAGGGTAATTGCATAACTACCGCACGAGTTGTTGTTGTTGCTATTGTCTCAAATTTTTGTAAGCGCTTTTTATACCGTTTAGCTATGCTCTATTATTGCTGTTGTTGTGGATGTTGTCGATGCGGTTGCTGTAATATTTAGTTGTTGTTCATCTCATTTCGGAGCCGTGCGCCAGGCCTTGAAAGTTCAATGCCTTTTTCGCCAGCGTTTAATTTGCTTTTACACACTCTCATATACACACACATGTGTTTAAATATGCATGGCCTTACTAATACAATGCAAGCATGTTAATCGCACAAAGAAAGCTGCGCATAAAAGCTTCATTGCATTCGCAGCAGCTTTTACCAACTCATCGTCTAATAAAAAGAAGTAAATATGAAATAATTACATACGAGGTGAAGTAAGCAGAATTTGCGAACTTTGATTGCTTAGTATTTTGTACAAAATACTTTGGCTGTAAAACGAAAAACTCCAGGTCTTTCTTGTGCGTTCAAGTTGTCCACTGCTCAGCGTTGACTCACATACATTTATATATATACTTAAAAGTACGTGAGATAGACTGAGCAGATTTATTTCAGCTTCACCTGAAACATTGCCTGTACACATGTATGCATGAATGTGCGATTCTGCGCCGAAAATTCCCTGGAAATATCACTGCGTTATCGCTACAGCGCTAGCGAATAAAACTGAAATTTCAATAGTACACATTTTTATTAGCAGAAATGACTCATCACAAAAGAGTTATAGTTTTATGTGAATATACGCATGTTTGAGATTTTGCAATAGCAATAAAAGCAAATACTTTCGTGCCTTAGTCCACCAATGAATGTATACTGGACAAAATCGCACGTCTGTGTATTTGAAGCGCCCAGTAGGAAATCTCATTGCAGACTGCCGGGTTTTCTAGATATAATTATTACTATTATATATACTACAAGTATATATTTATAAAAAATGTTGTTCAGACAATGATTTTCTAATTTTGATCTCTATGAGAGGATTATTTATGTTTATCCCTTATTTTGGTATAAGAAAAGCGTATAACAAAGTGAAATAATAAAGAAAAACATAGAAACTTAATATATCGCTGTGAGAAGCGATTGAACTTTCTCAATTAAAAAGAAATACTCATTTTATTTGCCGTGTTCCCACCTCTTTAAAATAAAGATCAAACAGGAAGCATTTATTTTATAATTTTATGCGTTTTAAATACTTTAATTTAATAAAAAATTTAATAATATTTCTTATTTCAAATTGAGATTGAATAAAACAGTCTGAATAAAATAAAAGAAATTTTGTTCTTTGGGTTAAATTAACGATGTTTTTTTAAACAAAATTATAGCTAAATACTGAATTTCAGTCTTTCTCACGAACTAAAATACCAATTACACGAAAATAAGAGTTATAAAATTTACACATACAAACAAACATTTTTTTTTTTTATTTTAAGGCATTGGCTAAAACGCAAGCACCTTTTTATAGAAAGAAACATGTGTATTGGAGCAGAAAGCGCACCAGCAGCTGTTGCTTATGTAAAGCACACAAAGAACATCGAACAACGCCAACAATAACTAAAATAACAACACTTACAGCAGCAGCAGCAGCGCTGCCTTAGTTGGCAACAACTTTCACCTATTAATATTCGTGTCGCTCATTGCTCATGCAGAAGCATAGAAAGAAACTGAAAGAGTTAAAGAAACGTAGAAGTGAAATGAATAAAATTAAAGAAAAAAACGAGTACTCAAACATTAATACACAGATACATGTACACAAGCAAGTAATAGCGAAACTCGAAGGTTTAGCGTAAAGCTTCTCTTTGGCAAAGATTATCTATGAAAAACTCAAGTAATAAAAGAGAGTATATGTTTTTAATAATTAAAGAAATATGTAGAAATCATGACTTTTCTCCAAACCTAAAGCAAATTGCCACAGGTTCGTTTCGAACTAGGTTTTGCTTGAACCGTCCCTTTGCTCGCGGAAAGAAATTCAATTTCAATATGTATATATGATATATACATATTATTCCCACAATTTTCTGGTGGTGTCGGTGGCCACAAAGAAGTAAGTAAAGTGTCTTGTATACGCATCTCAACCGTCCGTTCCCCAGTAGGTGCGCGTACTTTTATATGTATACATATATAAAAGTATATTTCATATTTATGTGTGTGTGATGTAAAAGTACAACAAATATATATGGCTATAAGTATTTTTATATGCCTTTACTGCTGCGCATGCGCATTGTATTAACAACATCATCTAGATGGAGAAGAAGAAGTAGACAAAAAGATACTACAAACTCCCAGCTTGGTAAGAGCTTCTCTTGCTTTCTTCGTTTTTGTTTCGGTCTCCAAGCATATAAAGTGGATTTCAAAGAAAAAACAGTTGATGTTCGTTCATCAGAAATCAGTTGTGTAAAGCAGTTCGAGAGCAACAGACTTCTCACACACACGCAAAGGTTGTATATGTATGTGTAAAAAGGGTGTTCTACCTGATTGACCTTTTTTATTGAATGTAACTAGGTTGCAATCAATTCCCCGCAATTTTCAAATAAAATGTTTCATTTTATTATTTCCAAAAATATATGAATTTATAATTGAAGCAAGTCGAAAAGTTTTTTAAAAGAGTATTTTACTGACATGAGAAGAATTTCACTGTTAAAACTCATATTAATTTCTATTTTTGCAGAATTATAATTACTAGGAAAAGTAAAGGAGCAGTTAATAAAATAAAATGGTCATAAAAGGCAAGGCCAATGGAAAAAATTGTCCACAATTTTGCTGCAACCGTGTCTTTTAGCCCACCGGACACTCTGCGAACCGTTTGTTACTTGCAAGTTGCAGCTATTCCACCTGAGCAGATATTTCACCCCAATCAAACTGTGAGTAGTGAAATCTTCAAAAATTATAAACAAGTTTCAAAATAAATAGAAAAATGTAACGAAAATAACAAACTATCACATGAATGATAAACTTGCTTCGGAGGTCAGCATCCATCTGCACCGCACCGAATTTAGTCAATGCTAATGGTATTTTTGTGTTTTTTCTTCATCAACAGTTGTGGGGCTGAGCTTTTAGCCGCTTCTTTAGCTGCTGCAAAGAGAAAACGCCTGCCAACTCGACTTGTTGCAGCTTAGTCATAAGCACAAACGTACCTACGCAAACATACAGTCAGCATCTACAATAGTACGTTCATTTGTTGTTGTTGTATCCATAAAACAAACGACACCGCTGGCAACTAAGTACCAACGAAAACTCTCCTGGAAAGTCAAAGCAAGACAGGGTGGCTGTTGCACTGTTCGAGTACATTTCAGCTGAACCTGCTGGGTGGACGCCACGGCAGTCTGTCCGATGCATTCGAGTAGTTGCTGTGCTAGACTCGTTGGTTGGCTTTCATTTCTCGTCACATGCATAAATTGCATTACACATTACACTCCATTATGACATGAGCACGACGGATAACGGTCCCACTTTGTATGACTATTAGCCTCTTTAATTTCAACTCTACTTATTTTAAATGCCTGATCAGATAGCGAACTTAAGAATGGACAAGTTCAGTACAAGTGTAAATACCATATGATGTAAATTAAAATATATATGTTAATTTTGTGAACACTCATTAAGTGGTTATTGACGTTTTGTAAAAGAGTATATTAAATTTTTCAAATCAAATTTGTCTTACGTATCGCGTAAGACAGCTTACGAAAAATGCATTAATGCGTAAGAATTCCTAGATTATATTTCACCTTTTATTAATTGTTTTTAAGGACCCGAGAAAAGCTTTATTCGAAATTTAAGTATTTCAGTGCTTTAAACATTTGTCTATATGTGTTTAGATAATTGTATAGGGTGTGTGTCTACTTACAGCAGTATCGCGTCGAATATTGGCAATTGGCATTGACATTGGGCGCCATAATCTCATTGGCAGCCATGATTTCGTTGGCGGCCATATCCATGGATACTGTTTGCTGTGAATTTTGGTGCAATGATTGCTTTCGAAAAAAAAACAGCGAGTATGTGAGTAGATTTGTTTGTATGTATGTGCTTGTTGCAAAGTTAGTAATCCACAACCAGCTTGGAGGCTGTTGAGCGGCTTAAATTTGCCGCAATTGTCTGTTTTCTAATGAAAAACCTTAGTTAATTTCTTTCAAAAATTTCCACTCAAATTTGTATTTTTTGTTGCTCTAACGATGAGTTTTTGTTATCGAAATATCCAAATTTTATAAAACACAGATCTTTTGATTTTTTTTATGTTTCGTCAAAATATATATAAAATATATAAATATACATATACATATATATAATTAATGCTCTTTTGCTTTTTGAAAGTTGGAAAATTTCAGCACACAACAGAATTCACACTTTCACTTTTCGTTAACTTGCTTATGTTGTTGTTGTTGTTGTCATTACACTGATGTCTTGGTGCTGGTATGAGTTGAAGGTGATGTTGCAGCGAGCTCTCACACGACATTTACGAGTGTTAGTAAGAGATAAACTCACAAAATTTCTAAAAGCTTTTAAGTATTTCTACTTTTCTTCAATTTACACTGGTGGAGGCGATTGACGCCAACGAAACTCAAGTCAGCGACATTTTTTGATTTTCCTTAGAAAATTTTGTTCAGATTTATATTTAGCACATCTGTTTTATGCTTTTTACACAATTTTGAAGAGTGAAAGTTTAAAAAAGAATTTTTAATTGTTTTTTTTTTTAACTTTGTATTTCATAAATCACGTCCTGTTCGCACTTTGTATGTCAACTCACAATCTTTAATAGTTTATTTACACCTGTTTAATAACAAAGAGTTTCAGATTTACATTTCGAAGAACTGTTATCCAAATACAGCTGTTTCCTGGCAGGTTCTTTTGTGTTTTCTGCTTTATTCTGAATTTTGTTTTCTAAGTATAAAACTGCATGCTCACTTTCGATTGTACTCCACTGTTAATCCGGTCAAAGTAGATAGAAATAGTAATGAATAAATATGATGTAGTCAACACAAATCTGAAAAACTTTTAAGAATCGAACGTTCTCCGCGTCTTTCGAAAAAGCGTAATGTCTACGTCGAGCAACTGGGAACGTCTGTGCGGCGTGCTGAAGTGAAACCAACGCTTATCCCCCAAACCGCTAAGCCGCAAAACTTTTTTCCATTTCGCTGTTGCTATTTCCACTGTCTGCCTGCTGCTGCTGTTGCTGCTATGGCCGTTACCATTGCTGCTTCTTCGTTCCGAGTTGCTGCTGTTGCTGCTGCTACTTCTATCGACCTTACTAGCAGCCACAAGCTTCTACTCCTGTGTATTTTGTTGCTTTTCTCTGTTCGTTGGCTTTCGTTGGCTTTCGCTTGCTCGTCGCTTGGTACTGACTACTCGTCTTGGTCGTAGAAATGCTTTCACGCGTGTTCACACACACACGCTCAGCTGAGTTTCGCGATCGCGTTTGTGTGTCAGTTTTCTTTGACTGCGTCTGAACAACTTCTTGGTCTCTTGCCTTCTTGTCATAGTGTCACTCTCAGCACCGCGCTCAGCGCTTACCATTGTTTCATTTCCATTCCGTTTCGCTTCGCTTCTATTTCTTTAAAGTCGAAGCTTGTTAGTTTGTGTTATTTTGAGTTATTGTGCTTTTTTTTAAATTTTGTTGGTACTGTTCGGAGCATCCCCTGGAAATCGTTTTGAAGATTTATGAAATATATAGAGTTAACTTTATTGCGTTAATATTCTAATATAATAAAAACTTTGCAACCATCGTAGAAAACTACTTAAAATTTTCAGTGTAACAGATTCATTTAATCAAAAAATCTTCAAAACTAAGGTACAGACACAGATACAGTTAAAGTTTGTTTTGTTGGCATTTCCTTTTAAAAAACATTCTAAATGAATTTTACTTAGGATAATGTGGAATTATTTACATCCTAACTCTATCAGCACTAGAAGAATATCACTTCGGTACAAGAATATTAGCTTCTATATTTTGACGTTCATTCTGGATGGATTCTTTGAGTTCAATTGAAGTGCTTAAGCTTATTATAAATATGGAAAATAGGCAGTTTTAGTGATCGCTGGTCTAACTCAAAGATTATCGTTTATTATGTGTATAGTAAAGCTTTAAAGCCCGAGAGCAAAGCGGAGTTGGTTTTACAAATTATGGTTGGATAGTAGTAGTATTATTAAATCAAGTCTGAAAGGCGTACCGTCTATCTGATTAGTCTATATAATAAAGAGCTAATATTAAATAAAGAAATATGCTTTAAATTTAATTACTAGCTTTGTGAACAATTTTATAATTACCTAACTTCTTTTTTTTTGCCAATATACAAAGATTTTAACCAAACCTTCTTATTCAAAAATCCTTAAACTTCTGTTTTCTTATATATGCATATGTACATATATCGATATGTATCTCTATATAAGACTACACTTTTCTTGGCTCCTATTACAGCTAAAATTAGTTACTGTTGTTCAATTGCATTGCTTCTTGGTCTGTTGCTCTGCTCTGCCCTGAAGAAGAAAGTTTCTTGCTGCTTTGTGATGATTGAACATACAACACAATGGCAAGTTTCAAGTTTCTGTGTTTCATTATGTGTGTTTATTTTGAGCACCACATTGTGCGTGTGTGTGTGTGAAAGTACACATTTTTTTAAAGTGTGTTTGTGAATGGCAGCATAAGGTTCGCTTTAGCTGAGCCTGTGTGAGTTTGGGTAGAATTGTCGATGGAAAAATGTTGAATTGGAATTTTAGTATTTGTAGCGTAAAGGTTTTTCGATGTAGACCTTTGGTGACTGTAGAAAGCTTCTGCCATTCAAAATACTGTCCTGCAGTAAGTAGTTATGTAGTTAAATATCATTAGGCCGTTCAAAGCAGTATTAAAACTCCTCATTCTTGCGGGAATCGTGTGGTTTTTCTTTTTTAATATTTTATATTTTTGTACAAACATATTTTCCAGCTAGTTGCTGCAAAGTAAATTAGTTAAGCTAGTTTCCACTTTATGCGAAAATTTCTATTTCTTTCTAAAAAAATTAATCTTCCATTATTAATTTTTATAATTATATTATCTCTCACTCTCGCTCTTGCATCCACTGTTTCTTTCTATTTCTCTTCTCACTTTCTACTACCAACCATCCAAGAAATAGAAAAATCTATGCTTACATTAGTTACATTAATGCCGTGCATCTTTTGTAGTTATTGTTGTAAGTTTGATGACGATCGCTTTAAAGTTATTTTGGTCATATATGTTCAAATTTCGGTGTGTCTGTCGCTACTTCTGTTTTAGTACTTGCGTGTCTTTTGTGTTTTTTGGATTTTAACTTTGTTGTTGTTTTTGGGAGCGTTGCATTATATAATTGAGAGTGATTTGCCTCTTCGCGGCAATGTTGAATCAGTATTATACTTGTATGTAAGTGACTTATTTTATGTATTCAACTCTTCCTCGCTCTTTCTGTTGGAAAATTATAAAAAAAAGGTTTCCTTTCCAGGAATCTAACGGTTAATGTGCTGTATTTCTTTTTATTCGTATTTTCTCACATTTCTCTGAATGGCTTCTTTGATATCTCCTCTTCTTGTAGAAGGAAACTGTTTCCATTTTCCTACTGCATGGCTGGGCTTCTTGAAACCTTGACGAGTATTGACTCATTACTAGCACTTGCGGAGTTCTATTTAAATCGCAAAAAGTCTCGAGAGTTATTCGTCTTCAGAAAGGTTCGCTTTCTTAGTCAATGGGGTATTTCCGTCGCCAATTTTTATGTACTGTCGTTATCAAAATACTTTATTCGAATAATTCGAATTAGAAAGTTTTCAGCCTGACCCTCGAGTACGATGCCAATCGGCCAAAAAATATGAACATTGCGCCACCTATCGGGAACTTAAAATATTTCACATAATGCGTTTCTAAGTACATTGTATTGTTGTATTCTTACAATAGCTTTTACTTTCATCCCTCTTCATTTAATGATGGAATGTTTGTTGCTGCTTGCAACTGAAATATTAACACAATGTTAATATTACTAATGTTCTGTTCTAGTCACAACAACAACATCTTTACAGTTAATTATAGGGTTCGGCTAGTTGTTTAATACTTTTTTCCTGTTTTATGAGATAATATCACGTAGATTAGCAAATTATTACTTACTATAATCTTAATGAACCATAAAATCTTTACGGTCAGCCAAATAGTTGGCGAGTGTAGAGAATGCTTGTGGCCGAATCTTCGTTCATACTTATTTATATTTGGTAGCCTCGTATGCCGGATCGCATAATCCCTTTAGTATTAATTGTGTATCTACATATACATAACATATTTAAATATATTAAATCTTCAAAATATATGTATAAGTATAAGCATGCACATACATTAAATAAGTCCGAAGATACGGTTTTTTATATTTTTTCAATTGCAGCAATACACATTTCACTTGAAATTAATGATTGTGCTGAAACGAAAGACTTAAGATACAAACTCGACGCATACAAAATACAAGTTAATGCACACCGCGTTTCAGTTAGCATGACGGAACCGAAATCAAATCAAAATACATCACAACCATACACACCTAAGTACATATTTCGTTTGTACGTAAGCGTTTTCACTTTTCAAATAAATTTTGAGCCAACAAAATACAGAAAAATAACTGGTAGAAATTTAAGAAAGGCAAGAAACAGAAAAATGCTACAACACGCGTTATTTTTTCGTAGAATACAAGAAAAGGGTGAAAAGTCGAAGATCAAAAAGCTGTATAAATGAAGATGATGGGAAAATAAGTGAAATAAGCTGCAAGCTACATAAAAAGCACACACATATGTGCATATATAGATATTACAGTTCTCCATAGTATCTTCAAATTACCTTTAAATGCCAAAGAAAGGTGAATCAAATGGTGTTCTGCAGAAGAAGAATCTCCGAATTTTTATTTGGGGAGATGGGCCAAGAAGAGTCAAGAAGTAGCACAAGAAAAGTGTACACGAAAAGAAAGCAAGCCGGACATAAGTCATGCTCCAAAGTCACAGCTAAATTAGGTCGTGTTCAAAAGTAATGAAAAACTACGACTAGAAAGAGGAACGTCAAGGTGAGAGGAGCCGCGACTGACGAATTAAATGCAAATAAATAATTGAGTTCGGTTGGTGTGTTCTTATTCACGAACATTGATGTGGCTGTGTGAGTGCAAGCATGAATTTAGGAGAAAGAATTTCCCGCATTGACCTAATTACATATTCATCAAAAATCGAAAGAATGAAGAACCGCACCAACATTCGCACATACAAAAAAAATAATAATAAGGCAATGCGAAGGTGTGACCAAAGCAACGCAACGAAGAACGCCAACGAAAGCGAAGTGCCAGCAGCAGGGGCCACACTTCCATATACACAAGCACAAAGGCTGGCGTGTAAGATTAATAAATAACTGAGTAAGTTGGCCAAAATTTGACACAGCGTTCAAAACGAAATTAAATAAGTTTATTGACAAAAAGCAGGTAAGCGCAAACAATGGCACAATCGAAATAAAATAAAATTAATATGTACATCAGAAACAGTTATGTGCAGACAATCGAAAGTTTTTACGCCCATTTTTATTTTACGATTTTTTTAAGATTTTGTTTTTGTACTCCATCTTCTTGTTGCTGGGCGGGGGCCGTGCGTAAAGATGTTCTTCTTCTTTAACTGTAATCCGCAGCGTTGTTTGCGGTGTCATTTGGGTGATTTGCTTGCGGATTGTAGTATACATTAGGACCCATCATCTGATTACTAATCAGCAAGCAATCAACAAGTTGATCAGATAACCCTCATTCCGGGAAGTTTAAAAGCGTTGAAGCTATTTAATATTCTTCTATATGCACAAAATCTGTAATGGTTTTGGAAAATAAAACTAATAAAGGCATGTGCTGAAATTGAATTCGTAAATCGTACATGGGCCAAACCTTAAACGGCTGTCCACAAAAAGCATAACTGAAATAAACAGAGTCATTGAGAGCACTAAATGATTTAAGCGCAACGATGAAACGGGATAGCAAGATTATAAGGCATATTCAGCGCTAATTGAGCCCATTGGTGGCAGTGCTTCTACCTACCTATTATATGTATGATGTCCGTCAATTCGAAAATATTATTAGTTGTTCTATCCTGGAGAAGGACGATTAAGTTTTAGTTGATTTTTATTGAAATTGCAAAACGCTTGATC